ACTCTCTATCCCTCTCCCTTCCTCTCTGTAAAAAAATCAATAAAAAAATATATTTAAAAAAAAAAAACTATCACCGGGCAGACAGAGTTTCAGGACTTTCTAAATAGTGATGGAGAGGAGGAAACGGGGAGTTTGGAGCGAGTTTTAGAATTCCTCTCTGCCCGACTAGAGGACTCTTATTTGATTATACATTTGCATCCTGCCTGATTCTAGTGAAGATTTGAGGCAGCAAGCAAGAGGAGTTGCGTGCTTGCCTGTTAAGCTGCAGCATTGGTTAAATGGAGTCACATTGTGGAGTTTGGAGAAGTCGACATTGAGAAACAATGCAGAAAGCATGGGTGTGTTTGTCACCAGTAAGGGCACAGAGATGGGCTGGGACTAGAGAAGTGAGGTAGGCAGAACCAAGGAGTCCTCCCTAGGCCAGTGCACTTAACAGGCATTCCTCTAGCACCTACTGAGTTAAGCACTTCAAGGAAGGGCACTAAGAAGAGGAGAAGGTCATGGCCCTTTGGTGATTCACCCAGATGGGGAGTCCAGGCATGGACACGGGAGAATCTGCCTGTGGCCTTGGGCAGCATGACTGAGCGGGGACCATGGACTATCAGGGCAGGTTCAGGTCCTGCAATGAGGACACCCTGTGTGTAGAGGACAGGATGTAGGACTTCAGATGTGCTTTGAAGGGTAGATAGGAAATAGGAGAGAAAGAGCAGTTTTCAAACTGTGTTTGCTATTCAAGAAGGAAGTCCAGACCTAGCCAGTTTGGCTCAGTGGCTATAGGGTCAGCCTGCAGATAGAAGGGTCTCAGGTTCGATTCCGGTCAAGGGCACATGCTTGGGTTATAGGCTCAATCCCCAGCCCTGGTCAGGGTATGTGTGGGAGGCAACCAATTGATGTGTCTCTCTCACATCAGTTTCTCTCTCCCCCTCTCCCTTTCACTCTCTCTAAACAATCAATGGAGAAATATCCTCAGGTGAGGATTAACAAAACAAAACAAAAAAGGAAGTCCACAGTGTTTGACAGCCATTGAAATAGGGGGGTGGGGGAGCACCCCACCCTTGTTTTGCTTATTGAACCTCTTGGAGAATGAAAGGTTGTGTCTGACCTCACGCTGCTTCCTGACACTCTCTCCCTGCCATCTTTTAGTTTCAAGTGGCTGCCACTTGGCTGACGCCTGCCTTGCTCAGCCTAGTCTTTTTTTTGCTACAACTGCTGCTTATTATGAGATGCTGTCACAGTCCTCTTCCCAATGGGGTCACTTTTCATATCGTTTAGGTGGGCAGTCTGGAGGTAGCATAAATCCAAACCTTCCTACCAGCTGGACAACCTTGGGCAAATTTCATAGGTTCTCTTAGCTCAGATCTTCTGCTCTGTGACATGTGCTTGCACCCTTCGCAGGAGAGGGGTAAGGACCAAATGAGAGCTTATGTGACATTCCTGGCAGGCATATAATAGATCAGTGATGGCGAACCTTTTGAGTTCGGCATGTCAGCATTTTGAAAAACCCTAACTTAACTTTGGTGCTGTGTCACATATAGAAATTTTTTGCTATTTGCAACCATAGTAAAGCAAAGACTTATATTTTTGATATTTATTTTATATATTTAAATGCTATTTAACAAAGAAAAATCAACCAGAAAAATGAGTTTGCGTGTCACCTCTGACACGCGTGTCATAGGTTCACCATCACTGTAATAGACCGAGCATGTCAGACTTAAAGGCTAACACGGGCCAAATAAACAAGGTTTAAGTGTATGTGGGCCGCAAAAAAAAGAAAAGCTTCAATTTTCATAGAAATGTGGGTTTATTTTGATAGAGACTTGCTGAATACAAAGGGCTGAAATAAATGAGTCATCATTAACATAAAATAATAGAACATTTTAATAAAAATTAGTATTTTTTCTTGAACATTCTTACCAGACACTGAATAGCTGCACAAATTAATAAGCATAATGCAGATAAACCTATTTTTCTTGTTCTCCGAAAGCGAAATATTTCCTGTTGTGCACACCAAACAGGTCAGTACAAGACGAATGAAGTGGCCATCGGCTGCTAAAATATTCACTGCTAGTATCAGTGGAGAGAAATGGTGCGCCTGCGTGTAAGGCGCGTAAGGGAAATGAATGCAACACGATTATAGTCATCAGTCATTAGCAAACGTTGTAGTTCATTATTAATAATTATGTAAAACAAGATATTGTAAAAATTAAGTTACGAATTTTTTACTAAAACACTTCTTACATACCATTCTATTGGCTGGGCCGCAAAAATATTCGTTATGGGCTGCGAGTTTGACGTGCTTGGACGCTCAAGAAAATACACCTTCCCTCTGTATTACTTGCTTCATCTATATGAGGACTTCCCATCAGGGATTTTGTGTGGCGACAGGAAGGAAATCCTAATAATGGTTTGTCCTCTTCCCTCCATGCTGACGAGGGTAAAGAGTAGTTCAAATGTAAACTAGGTGTGTGTAGAATGGTTTGTGTAGGGCAGGAGGCCCACCCAGAAGACCTTCCCAGAGGAGAGAGGACCTGAAACCTATTTGCAGGTCTTCCCAGTGACCTTAGCCCTTCCTTTCTTTGTGGGTTGGGAAGCTGAAAATCCAGGTTGGTTTCCTTTTCTTCCGTTTTGTCACAAACTGTCAGGCATTTAAAATCACAGCTGCTTTTTGCTATTCCAAGTCCTAATTCAGGCAACAGTGCTATACATTGAACAGCACGCTAGAGTTTACATCCAGTTATCATGCTGGAGGCTCAATGCAGGCAAGTTTCATGATCCCCAGTTTCAGATGAGGAATTGAGATTGGGGTTGGCTGGAGCTCTGGGAGATTCCAGTCTTCGATTTGTTGTTAATTGTTATTTGTTGCACTTTTCAGAACCAAGAGCCACTGAGAGAGGAAGACTCTGATTTCATCCTGACTGAGGGTGACCTCACCTTGACCTACGGGGACAGCACAGTGACTGCCAATGGCTCCTCAGGCTCCCACACGGCCTCCATGAGCCTGGAGGGCAGTCGGAAAACAAAGAGCGGTTCTGAGGAGGTGCTGGAACGAGACCTGGGAATGGGAGACCAGAAGGTTTCAAGCCGGGGCACCCGCCTAGTGTTCCCCCTGGAGGATAATGCATGACTTTCCCCCCAAACCCTGAAGCGATGGGGTAGACCCACCGGTGGTGTGGGGCTGGCTGCATGCTCCAGTGTTGATTGAGGTGGGACAGTGACTGAATGGAACTAACGCTTCTATTGTATTGAGGTCTGAAGATATCTTAACATTTAAAACTTAACCCAAGATACAGATGGTGGGGCTCAAGACAAATGCAGATCTATTCCCACTTTTTCACTTAGTAGTGCACTGTTCAGAGTTAAACAAAAACAATCGCATGCTTTACTGGTCTCTAATTCATTCACCTGTGGTACCTGAACAAGGTGTGGTGGGTGCCGGGGACCCCTCCCAGGAGAGGCTTCGTATCCATACACAGCAGTGCGAGTCTAGCTGGATGTAGGAATATCAAGTGAAGGGAGAACAGGCTAGAAGAAAGATGGCGAAGGAAGGCCAGTGAGATTGGACCTCCAAGGATGAGGGGAAGCTGGTGTTAAATGGGACAGAAAGCATGAAAAAGCAATTTGAGTGGAGGCTCCAGCAACAAGAGATGATGACAGCAGCCTCATCTCTGGATTCCTGACTTCTTTTGCTGCCTGTATTTTCTCTAGACTGAAGATTGGAAAATATATCCATCAACATTTCAACATGGGGGAAAGAATTGTAATTCCTTCTCTGGAAATCTCCACAAAGAAGAAGTTACTGGAATGTTTCAAACCAAAGGCAAAATAGTGTTAAAGTGCTGTATTTTTTTGTTTTGTTTTTGGTTTTTTTCATTAATGTGAAGGCAGGAGAAACTGTTTAGAAACTGATGATTACATCACCGTAAACATCAGTCAATTCTTGATGGCTGCCATATGAGCTGACTGCCTGGAAAATGGTTAACAGGACTGACATATCTACTGTGGGTTTAGAAAGAACACCAAAATTTGTGGAGTGCTTTGATCTGGTGATGAGAAGGCAGTAACAACCCTCAGAGGCAATACACTAGTATTCAGAGGGAAGAAATCTCACTGTGAAAAAAAAATCACTGCAAAGAAAACACAAGATTGTATTCTAAAGACTTAGTAGAATTCCAAACTTTGAGCTAAGAAATGAATGAGATTTCAGTGGTCACCTGAAGAAACAGAGGCGAGGCAGTGGAATGTTAAGCTTTATTTATACAGTGGAAGGTTCCTGTCCACTCTCAGATTAAGAATCGAGGTGTCTTGTAGAGAAAGGTCATTTTCGTGGTGTCTGGGGAGGTCTGCACCAGCTTCATGTGTGAGTGTGGTCTGAGATTTAGATTTCTACTTTGGGTTCTTTTGTGGGTGAGCTGTTCTACCTGCCCACACCTGCAGTAAGAGAACTCTTGGAAGCCAAGTTTGAGATTCTCCCTGTGCTCTATGCTTCAGTGCTATTATTTTCAAAAACCCAATTTCTAAAAAATGCTTTCATTTAATGTGGCCATTTCCCTTATAAGGTAGTGGCTCAATCTAGTGCACCCATCATGAAATCAGCCATTTAACCTTCTTAACTCGCATTTTTAATGGTTAATTTTTAAGTAAGACATTGTTTCGCCCTCTTTTTCAGTTGATAATTTGTGCAAACCAAGAAAAATTTATTAGTTTGAGCCATATGAAATTGCTGGTATTCAACCATTTTTTTAAAGACACAAAAATGACAATTTCATATGGTTCAGTATAAGAGAATTGGGTGATTTTTATTCCCCTTTCCCTTCTATCTACACTAAAGGACATTTTGATTTGATGGTCATCCATGGGCTTTGTAAGTTTGGGGAAAAAGCTAAACATACTTACCTCATGCTTCCACTATGCTGAAAAGTAAAAAGTAGGGTGCGGAGAAACTAACCCAAGGCTAACTATTTGCTGCCAGTCTGGCATAAACCAGGTAGAAACTGCTGAGTAATGGTGCATCCAAGTAAGCAAAATTCTTCTGAGAGGATAATCCCAAGTCATTTTATAAGCATATTTGTTCTGGGTAGGGTGCGGGGGGTTACAGTTCAGCAAAGTCGGATGTTCTAGGGCAGAGGTTCTCCACCCTGGCTGCACATTAGGATGATCTGGCCCATTTATTGAGAACATCAACATAAAGGCCCACCCTCAGAGATCCAGACTCAGTAGGTTTAGAGTGCGGCCAGGCTTCTGTGCTATGTTTGGATCCTCAGGGATTCTAATCTGCAGCTCGGGTGGAGAGCCTTTAGTCTAGAACTTGCAGTGGGCCCAACTTGAAACTGAGTGAATTTCGTGCTAATAATGTTTCTAGAAGTCAAACACATACTCCATAAATACAACTAAAACCAAAAAAAAGGTCACATTAGAAAACCTTAGAGCATGAAAGGGGGAGAAGGATGACTTGAATGTATATATTGGAGGGATTAAAACCTGTCATTTTTGCTCCGATTTGTGGGGAAAAGGGGGTTTTGTCTTAACTGAGCTGCTGACTAATCAAATGTGAAGGTTTCTAACAAGCTGTCTTTTCCATTTAACCTGGGATTAAATTAAGAGTCCCCTTTGCAGTCAAGTGAACTTTTTTTCTCTTCACACTTCACTCGTCTCCATGCCTGAATCTACACTGGACTCCTTAAAATAAGGGGGAGGGCTGTCCATTGCCAGAGCACAGGCCCCTTATTAAGTGGAAGGTTGTGATCACTTCACTGTCATGTGGTGGTGGTGTTGGGAGCTGGTAGTTAAGGAGATGCAAACTTTTGTGGATAGCACTGGCAGAGGGAAGATATAAACTCCTGACATTCCTTTTAATATTCTTTTCCTAGAGAGGAAATTTAGGATATAAATAAGTCTGCATTTCTTCCTAGGAAGCAAGTATAGGAAAGGCATATGTAATTAAATGGACACTGACCATCAATGATACTTATTGGGCTGACCAGACAAATAAGCATTGATGCCTTGCAGCCAAAAACCACACTGCGACATCAAATGTTTCATCAACCAAACAGCAAGAGCTCTTTAGGCTGTGATCCCTAGACCTGAAAACGCCCTCTGTGGTTTGGTTGAAAAAACAAATTTTAGAAAACACCAAAAATGTTATCTTCACTATCCATGAACATTTCAGACTAGAGCAAAGAAGTGACCGTCCCTTCCAAAATAGAGGTCTGTTGCACGTCCTTCCTTCACCCCTCATCATATCCCTCCCTTTTTCTGTCCATAGTAGAAGTTAATGTAATCATGTTGGATATTTGATGTGAACAGTGACTCTTAAATGTAGAAACACCACTGATGTCCTTAGAGATTGGTGCCAGGGCAATGGAGCCATTCATCAGAGGGGAATCATCTGCTTGGAAACCTACCTTGGTACCCATTGTGACTTCTAAGGGGTGTATCAGAAAACTAATTTTACCATCTCTTGTCAAATGTATTCTGGAATGAGGGTTGCTGTTTCAATGAATGACTTCAGGAATAGGGAACTTGACAAGTTTCATGCCTGCCTTTGATGTTGATTCTGCAGATGAGTTAGTACTGTAGGAGCTAATCTGTCAGAAACTTTAGACTGGTGTCATTGAGTTCTGATCTCTTCTGTCGTTTTCTAAGTGGGGATCTGGCTGGCCAGTGTCATTTGCTATGTCCTCACACAGCAAGTTGAAGAATCCAGTGGGCAAGAGTTAGAATGTAGAAACAACCCATCTGAATGCTGCTTTCGCCACTTTGATACCTGAAAAGACCTTCCCCCTTTCTAAAACCTAATAAGAACAATATACAGACAAATACCATAGAAACCAATGTGAGGATCTGACTAGGAAAAGCAAGTAGGATTTTTGACAGTCCTTTCAAAACAAGATTTAGAAGTAAACCATATTTTCCAGTTTCAATTTTCATAAGTAGAGTTTTTTAAAAAATTAACAAACACATCTTGTCTTGTCACCCAGTGCTAGGAGAAATTGTAAAGAGCAAAGCCAAAGTTTTTGATGTAAATTTTATTTTTGTAAGCAGGGTATACGATAACCATGGTCCACATGGAACACATAGGCACCGGTTTTCTGCTACTTGAGCCTTGGAGAAGATGAGAAGGAAGGTCTTCCTGTTCTACTGCCTTTTGAAAAGGTCTGAAATAGACATGAGAGCACTTGGGAGAGGCCATCCTTTTCTTCTGATGGCCACCTTTTAAAAAGGGTTAACGGGATGTCATCATCACCTCAATTCTTGGCCAATGGAGAATGATTTGGGCCTGTGTGTGCTGGAGGAGCTCAGAAGAAAAAGGACATGGAAATAGCTTGAATAACTCTACATCTCTGTCAAAAGCACTTAAAAACAGTTAAGATCCAGTGTTACTGGGTGACCATCCAACTGCATGGACATTTGGGGGTTGACTTTTGTTGTGATTATTCCAGCTGTGGGCTTTGGAGAAGCAGAAGAATGATTTTCGGTTGTGTGGGTATTACGTCACTCTATGGATTTGGAATGTATCACTGCACTCACTCATTCAAAGTATGATTTCATAGTAGTGTCACCTACTCCTAGGTTTTCTTTTTTACATAAAATACATCTGGTCTTCTTACTTAGAAGTTTTTGTTCATTAAATTTATTCAATGCGAAGGCCACCAATATTCATTTAATAGCTACAAAGCAATTTTTTAAATAGAATAGGATACATTTAACATGGACGATGTGACCTTCTGGAGAACTTTTTATAGAAAGCTTAAATACTGTAGTTGGGGAGAATTTTGTCTTCTATTTCCATTCAACTGTGGCAAACTGGTGGTTTTATAAAATTAACATTATGTAACAGTACGTTATATAAACATGTTATACAAAATAATATTAAAATGTTTAACTGTGAAAAAGTGAAGACTTGGAGTTATCAGCAACCTTTATGTGCAATAAAGAAAACTGAAGTTAGACCCCAAAGTGCTGTCTTTCTGTAGCATCCTACTTAATGTTTGCCTTTGTGTATATGTTTAGATTGATATTGTAAAGCTAGTCACATGTTTTCCTGCTTTTGCTGATATTTAACACATTTTTCTCAAAGCTCTTTCTGTATTTTTTTTTTACAAAACTCAAAATAAAAAGATTAACTGGCTGAACTGATCTTGTTTTGTCTTTTAAAAGTATTGTCTGTTAGTAGAAGTGTAGTATGATCGTATTCTTCACTGAGAGGTTCTTTTCTAGGTGGAAGCGATTCCAGCTTCATTTACTAGTAGACCAGGAGTTGACAAATTACAGCCGGCACCTGGATCCGGACTGGCCCACTGCCTGTTTTGTAAATAAAGTTTTGTTGGCATACACTATGCTCATTCATTTGCATGTTGTCTGTGACTGCTTTCATGCAGAACTGAGAAGTTATGACAGAAGTGAGCAACTACTTGCTTATAAAGCAGGAACCCTTTACTGTCTGGCTCTTCACAGAAAATATTTTTGCCAACCCGATTTAGATGCTTGAAAAACTTTAGTTTTAAAATAGGGTCTAAAAACCATGGCAACATGTGCCTTAGGATTAAAAGAACCACTTTAAACTCATCTCTGCCTGTGACTTTTCCTGGCCTGAAACTCTCTTCAGTAGGCTTTGAATGTTGGATAATTGCTAAGAATCTTGAACCCAACATGCAGTTTATTTTATAGTCTTCATATTCCTTTGTAGACTAGCTTTCCCCAGAATCAAACTACATCATAAAATCTGAAGCTTCCTAGCAAAACAAAACAAAAATCCTGTCATTAGCATGACTCAGTCATTTAATAGTATGATTACAAAACACCAAATGGAACAATTTAAAAGCAAAAAATTGTTCCAGTTCATTTCTCTCCCACCCTACAGAGAGAAATTACTTTTTAAAAATCAGTTCAGAGGTGGTGGCAAGGGGAGCTGTTTGAAGAAGGGTTGGATGAGTCAGGTTTAAAACAATATCATCTAGACCTTTTATTTAATAGTGTGTAATTTAATCAAGATACACAGGACCGCGCTTGGCCCTTATTCACATTAATGTTTTGTCCAGACACCTGATGATGGGAAATGGTACCAATCGCATCTCTTCTTTGTTGTGAGGACGCCTTGTTGAAATGGCTCCAGCCGAGGCAGGTTCGGGCTGGGAACTAAAGCTCTTCCTATTTTATTGCCATGATTATCCACATTGCACTTCCTTACTGGAAACTTTGTTTCAACCAATGTGTCCATCATTATTTAATATGCTCAGGATATTCCTGCTCTCCAGAATTGCACAGCAGTTGGTACCAAATCAAGTCCCAGTCTCTGACAGCATGATAGATTGCCTCCACAGCATGGCTTCTCCAGTTCTGGGGCAACATGCTGAGTGCCCTGTTCATGATGCCTGACCTGGAAGGAAAGGAACAAAGGATGTTTGAACTTCAGAACACCAAAATTCACAAAGAGCCTGTTGAATCCTGATGATATAAGGCCTCTTAAATATTAAACCTTTAATCTTCCTTATCTAAGCTGCATTATTCAATGCTACAAATCCATACTGAACCAGTATCTATCATTCTGCTTTGTAAAGACAGTCCAAGAATAAGTGTGACCCAAGAGGGGTTAGATGAGAATAGAGACAGGAAAAAGATGGGGGTACCTCTGTCAGAGTGACTGTGCTTTCTGCAGCTGCTGCTGTGGGGTGCCTTTAAGGAAAATAGAGCTTTCTGAGACTTGCTAGGTAGAGTGGGGGAAGGAGGTGGGATTGAAGCGATACCTGTAGCCCCCAAGTAGACTAAAAAAACTGTCATCAAATTTCCTACCATTTTCAATATTTTTGTTGTGGTTAAAATATAAACATATCCATTAATTCTTTTTTTAATCTTTATTGTTGAGAATATTACAGATGTCCCTCTCCCCCCGCCAGCCCCCATTGTCTCCCTCCCCCCAGTTCCCACCCCACCCCAGGCCTTCACCACCCTATTGTCTGTGTCCATAGGTAATGCATATCTACACTAATAAAAGAAAAATATGCAAATTGACTGTACCTTCATGATGCACACCAGTCAATCAGGAGTGAGCATGCAAATTAACCCAACAAAGATGGTGGGTTAATTTGCATATGCAGGCGCCGAGAGGCCAGGGGTGGGATGCTGGCACCAGGGCGACGATGCCAGCATCCCACGCCCAGGCCGCGGGGGAAGGGAGGGATGCAGACACAACACGGGGCTGCTAGACTGGGGGCATGCTCCCAGCCCAGCGGACACAACGTGAGGCTGCTGGGCTGGAGGTGTGCCCCTGTGGTGGCTTCCTTCGCGCGGCGGTGGCGACGAAGCCCCCATGCCCGGCAGACAGAGAGCGGACAGCAGGGTGTGGCGGCTCCATTCACGCGGCAGTGGTGGCAAAGCCCCCAGGCCCGGCAGAAAGAGACAGCAGACAGCAGGGCATGGGGGCTTCGTTGCCACAATGGCGGTGAAGCCCCCATGCCCAGCAGACAGAAAGCAGACAGCAGGGCGTGGCGGCTTCCTTGGTGTGGAGGCACCAGTAAAGCCCCCAGGCCGGGCTGACAGAGAGATGACAGCAGGGTGTGGCTGCTTCCTTAGTGCAGCAGCAGCGATGAAGGCCTCATGCCCAGCAGACAGACAGCAGACAGCAGGGTGTGGCGGCTTCCTTCGCACGGTGGTGGCGAAGCCCCCAGGCCCAGCAGACAGAGAGCTGACAGCAGGGCATGGGGGCTTCATTGCCAAGGTGGCGGCGAAGCTCCCAGGCCCGGCAGACAGAGACAGAGAGTGGACAGCAGGGCATGGCAGCTCTGTTCGCGTGGTGGCGGCGGTGAAGCCCCCAGGCCCCACAGACAGAGGACAGTGGGGTGAAGCAGCCAGACCTCACAGAGAGCAGAGAATCATGGGGAGTGGGCCTAAGGCGTCAGTAGGACATCCCCTGATGGCTCATGGATTGGAGAGGGTGCAGGTTGGGCTGAGGGATTCCCCCACCCCCTGTGCACGAATTTTGTGTACCGGGCCCCTAGTCTATAATAATAAAAGTGTAATATGCTAATTAGATCGGATGTCCTTCTGGGCTGGGGCTGTGAGGGAAGCCGGTGCCGGCAGCTGGGGGAAGGAAGGCCTACTCTTACACAAATTTCGTGCATCAGGCCTCTAGTATGCATATAAGATCTTTGTTTAATCTCTTCCCCCACCCATCCCTCTTCTCTCTAAGAATCATCAGTCTGTTCCATTTCCATGCCTCTGATTCTATTTTATTCACCAGTTTATTCTGTTCATTAGATTTCATATTAGTTTATTTTGATTTTTAGATTCAATTTTTGATAGGTATGTATTTGTTGCCATTTTGTTGTTCATATTTTGATCTTTTTCTTCTTCTTCCTCTTCTTAAAGAAAACCCTTCAACATTTCATATAATACTGGTGTGGTGGTGATGAACTCCTTTAGCTTTTTCTTGTCTGTGAAGCTCTTTATCTGACCTTCAATTCTGAATGATAGCTTTGCTGGGTAGAGTAATCTTGGTTGTAGTTCCTTGCTATTCATCACTGTGAATATTTCTTGCCACTTTCTTCTGGCCTGCATAGTTTCTGTTGAGAAATCAGCTGACAGTTGTATGGGCATTCCCTTGTAGGTAACTAACTGCTTTTCTCTTGCTGCTTTTAAGATTCTCTCT